GGAATGTCCTTTGCTGTACCCACGATATTGCCTTGCAAGGAAGATGGATAGATCGAAGTTGGGAGCCCGGTTCGACCGTTAAACCCGGAACGGTTGCCCAATGCCTGCATGCCAATCGCTTATGCTTGATCCTGAGCCCGGAGTTGATCACCAGATCAAGGTGTCGTCGAACGGGTGGGGAGAAGAGAGACTGGTGAAAAGATGCAGTGCAAAAAATGCAAGAGATATATGAGAACTGCCAAAATACGCCACTAGGGGCTTGTCAGAAGCTCGTATGTGTTCAGAAAAATTGCACCAAGAAAAAAAATGTAGCAACTTTAAGCAAACTTACCACCTAAAAAGGTAAAGAGTACAAGGATTTACAGTTTTCCATTGGCATCGGCATGTGGCAGAACACCAAAGCCACCAAACAGACTGTTAGCCCCTTGTTGTGAGCATTATCCAATACTGCAAGAACAAGGCAAAAGGACCACGTTTATGAGAAGCATGTGCCTTGGTAAAGGACAATATAAGTGGAAGGCACATGGATTTTTGGGCAGCGTGGTTTAAAATAAATCTTTTTTATAGAACAGCTCAATCACTTATTTCTTTCTCAGCAATTCCAAACTTGAGGAAACCGGCGGTTCACCACTTCGTGGCTTCCCAACACAACAAGTACTTGAGTTTATGGAGACATTGCTTGAAATTGCAAATGTATTCTCAAGGCGAACACCCTGGTCATTGATTGGAACTGCCAATACCGATATTTTGTACTGGCGCCGTTTACGAAGAGGCCCTATTAAGATGGCGGAAAACGATTGTGTAGCCTTGGATGTAACCTCTACAATTAAAGACGGTGCAGAAAAGTGTAAGTCTACATATAACACTAGAAATGTTCATAAACCTACCATTCGTGTACCTTATAGTTTACACAACAATTGTTTATAAGCCGTGCCATATACAGTGTTGTTTTCGCGTCGAAAGGCGATGCTACTAATCTAAAACAAAGCTCGAACTTCGGTTCGTATTTATTTGCTGTTAAAGTGATAAAAAGCGAAACATTTTTCTTGCTAGCATGGCAGTTTCCGTTAGATCCCGCTGTTAGTTCTCCTTCACTTATAACGTAATCACGTTAACTTTTTGTCAATGGAAGGATGGTCCGGTGTCGCTGCTCCTTGACTGATTGAGACGATAATCCCCGCTCGAGTATGTTTTCTTGAAATTGAGACCATTGACGCGATTCACAATGTCTCGCATCCAAAGCCACTTGGGCGCCAATGCAGCATACTGTTCTAACGAAATGCCACTGCTGTTTTGTGGTTAGGTTTTTGGGCCAAAGTGTTAGTACAGACAACCTCGAACCGTGTTACAAATCCTCAAGCTCCCGCATGAACTTATCTATTTAGGTTTGTAACGGATCGACCGCAAATTTTAATTCGTTCCCTGCGAGTTTACATGATACGGATGTCAACTATTATTATTTTTAGTAGCATTTACACACTGATCTCGGCCAGCTGTCATCACCGCCAGGCGCCACAATATAATTTCGCACATTAAGCACCTTGTATTTTGGTAATGATCCGTCCGAAAGCCATCAACCCCTTTACTAGTCTGGCGTACGGGTATGCGAAGTTTTATTCCCAACTTGTAAGCCCAGAAGATCCTACGGTATCTGTATATTGCGTGCCCAAATCTTCTTAGCACTAATATTTTTCGGACCTTGACACCAGCCACAAACGGAGGACAGTGCACCCCCCGCTCCCTTGTTGTTTAACGGCAGATATGTCGACTTTGACTTCTCTCAGCGAAGAAAACCGAATACCGAAGATTCAAGAACTACCTATCTGTCTTGGCAAACGATCGAAATCGCTCCTCGGCTAACTCATTCGTCTTTTCCAACGAGATATTGCTGTGCGATTTTGGGGCAACAGCGCCGTATTTTTGTGACGCATGACAACAAAAAAATTCTCAAACCGCTCCGAACATCTCTGTTGGATGACTTAGGATACTATCAGGAGACTGTCCCAAAGATTTCTGATCGTGTATTTGGAAATGAAATGGTCTCTTTCACTAAAATGATTTTTCTCGGACATGCTGTTTCTACTCTTTTACGCACACAGCCCAACATATCCATAGCGGACTGGTCGGATCTGTGTCTGACCATGTAGATATTGCGATGGATTTGAAGAAACCCTCGAAATGTCGGAAAAAATAATGCACATCAATATAACTGAGCCATCATTTTAACATAGCCTCTATGGGAAAACTTAACGCCCAGACCTAAAGATGCAATTTCTCCCAGTCCACACCCAGCAATCACTAGAAATGCCTTTTCCATCGTAGTTTAACTAAAATTGGCTGAGGGACTAATTATCGCGGATCCTATCTCGAACCATTTGATCACGTTCGTCCGGTCCCTGCGACATCCTTTAGTGAAACCGAAAGTTATTTGTCAGAAAATCAAGACCGAATTTTTGGTTGCTGTAC